GACACAGTGTGGGCAACATTTCCAAAAATCTCTATCCACACAGCGTGTCAAATAGTGTTCATGTTTCCAAGAGCCTACATAAAGACACCTCAGTTTCCACGACAACAGTCTGGGAAACATAAAAAAGACAAGGAATACAGCACAGTACATGCGCCTCAAAGTAACAAATGAACAGTCTTGCACTAACCAGAGAGCATTGTGTTTGTTTAAGGTCAATGAAAAGTGGCTACAGCCAAACAACTGCTGTGCTCCAGGTCAACAGCTGACCTCGTCTCCAGATAATCTACTCTGATGCCACATTGCAATATTTATCATGGCAGCATTTGTGTCTGAGGAGTGGATTTGCAATACAATTTTGCTTTGGTACATGTAGACTGTATTGGAAGCAATAATGACTAACATGGAGTTCTGACAACAGCTTGTGTGCAAAACCAACTAACAAAACAGAAACCAAGACAAGTCATCACCGGATGATGCTTGTGTCAAAATGCACAGGGCCATGATGCATGCACAGACAGTCCCTGGCTCCTCTCTTCTGTCCCAGTGCTCTTTCACCGTCCTCTGATCCTGTTTCCCTGGGGTTTAGTCAGCTGTTGGCACCTACAGGCCCGCTGCTGTTCTCCAACACATGGCTGCAGCCTGTAAGCAGAGCCCTGCTTCACACTGACAGAGGAACAGCCTGTGTGCACTGAGGCTGCTGATGGGAAGCACTTCCAACAGCTATAGGCCTGTGAGTGTGTGTGCAAGTGATAGTTAATCTGGGAATCTGTGTGTGTGTGAGTGTGTGTGTCCATGGCATAAATAGAATTGTAATTTGCCTAAGTCTATTTAAAGGCTGTCATGCATGTTCCTACTACCTCACATCCAGTGAGCCACTTTGTTTCACAATTGCTTTTGTCTTTTAGAATACATAACTTGGTATAATATCTAGCTTACTACTGCACATGTAATGTAGGCCCACTACAGGTGCAAAGGGCCTACTGTCCCACGGATGTTTTAATAATAAGGTGTAACCTCACCCTTATGGCTGATTCCACGAATGCAATGTATCCAGGTGAAACAACACTCAAGTGTCACTCATAATAAAATGTTGTGTAGTTGGATGAGAGCCCAAAGCAACCACCGGACTCACCTTTTTCATTATACCGGTCTTCCTCTTGCTGAAGGTGGTGTAACGTCTTAACTTGTTGTCAATAAATTCCATCTTTATCTTCACTCGCCCACGTGTTTTCTTCCCCGGCTTCGCCCCTGCGACCCCGCCGGGCACCATTCCGTAACCCCCGGGAGGCATGCCCACGTCCTGCCCCGACACTGCAGCCTCCATCTCTCCTCTCTCCCGCTTCACCCCTCTCCTGTTGTCCCCGAGTGAACCCACTGGGTCATCATCGTCTCCGGAGTCCGAGTCATTATCCGAGCCGCTGCACAGAGGAGCGACATCTCTCTCCTCGAACCTGGCTCCGTGAGGCATACCTCCCTGGTTTAGCCCCACCATGTTGCCCTGCACGGAGGGCTGCAAGGTGGTCACCCCGGTCCCGTTCCCGGGTCTCACACCTCTCGAACCCCCTGGCCCATTAGCCCCTAGCATCCCGACGGCGTCTCTCTCCCCCTGTCTCCCGATACTCTCGACCCCTGCTAAAGCTTGCCCTGCTCTAACCAAAACGGGACGAATCCCGCTTCCGACAACCCCCGAACCGTGTCCCGTGTTTCCCCTGCCTGTAGCTGAGCCGTTTCCAGATGGTGCCGATCCAACCCGGCTCGGTAACATTATATTCACTGAACCGAGTCTCTAAAACACCAGCCAACAGAGCTGGGGCTAGTTGTCTCGTAAATGGCCGATAAAACGCATACACGCCTGGGCCACAAAATGTAAACAAACCACACCAGTTTGTGGGTTTGGAGACTCCAGGAAATAACCGAGACAAACTTTGAAAAGTGATGCTGCCCCCAAGACCCTTCAACCCCGGCTCAGTTTGGTTCACCCTCCTCCTCTATTTCCAAAACTCGGAGCACTTTCTCAAAAAGGAAAACGCGAAGTGCGCCATTGATGTCGATCCGCCATGTCACGTAGTCCACACTGTGAACTAAAAATGGCGCTAGTGTCGGCCTGAATGCGTTCAAATGCTTATCTTTACACCATCTACACCGCTATATCTATTTATTTGTGGTTCAGCGACGCATAAAAACGCGTATTTTTTTAACAGCGTTTACGACGGCGGAGTAATATTACAATCCGGGAACTACTTTCCTCCTTATAAAGAGATACAATGTTCCCTTATTTGGTCTTGTCTCTCCTTATTTGGTGAGTCACAGCGTCGCCTATTGATTGGCTGAGGCTTATCTGAGGCGCGCTGCCATTGGTCAATAAGGCGCGCTCATTGGAATACATACCAAAATGGTTGCGCGACCGACAACGTCACCGTGGACAGACAGAGGCACCAAAATAACAAAACATTTAACTTTGTATTCCCTGCAGATTGTACATTTATACTAAACAACATGTTTTCCCAGGGTTTTTACGCCAAAATATAATTGTATTTATCTGTTTTGGCCTAAAGACTTGAAATGATCCTGTCAAAGGGATTGTTTTATGAGTTTATAAAAGTAGAGTAGTGGTCTATTGCTAAAGCTGTTGGTGGAGTTTTTATAAAATGTACTTAAGATCTAATTATTTTAGCGATAACATGTTTAGGTTCATATTTTATCCTTGTTTGTGCAATTTTACATTATCTTTTTTATGAAAATATGGTACAACCATACACTATCTATAAACACAGATAACTTTGAAGACTGGGCCTGCATCACAATAATTTTCTCAAGAATTGCAAATGCACTTCATCATGCTGGCCAGCTAAATAAGGTCTATGACAACCTGTAATTACTTTAAAACAAGAAAATATGCAAAAGCATGCAAGTTGTATTCAACAAGTTGTAGTTCCACATACCTATTGTAACTTGCATAGTTTTCACAACATGCCTATTACACCTATGACATTTTGGTATGTCACAGCAGGAAAAGCACAAGTGTAAAAATGATATATTCTATGTCTGTATTACATTTAGCTGCTTTGACATCAGGGTCCTGGTATTGTGTATGCACAATCACTGTCACTCTCAGAACACTTGAATAGAACAGAGCCATTGTTAGTGTAAACACCTGTGCTTTTCCTACTTCGATTAGTCATACAACCTGTAGCAGGACAAGCACAGTTGTAACTAATAAGGCCCTGCTCTATTAAATTGTACCAGTACACCATAACAGTTAGTTAGCACATACACAACACCAGAACCCTGAAGCAGCCACATTTAATTCAGCCATTTTATTATTTACACATGCTTTTCCACTTGTGACACTTCTGGGTTTAAGTCCCATCACTGTAAACTCTACCAAATCTGAAATAATGCAGTAAGCCCCACCCATGTGGTGCTCAAGGCAGGTTCAAACAATTAAAAGTTATTAAGGTATTTGAAAATGGTTTTCTCAACCAACATTTATTGGCAAGATGCTAGGGGATTTTTATTCCATAGTGTTGGATATAAATAAGAGAGCTATGAAAGCTTGTTGAGGTGCAAATCCTGTTATCACAACATCACTTTATTACTAGGAGTTTAAGTTTTATGAATCTCATTAAGATTTATCCTTAGTTTGTCAGATAAGTAAGCGAAATCTAACAGAAACTGGATGACAAAAAAACATCAAACCACTAATAACTCTAAATGCATTATGATTTATCTTTGAGGATATACAACAAATCTTGCCTCTGGGTACCAAATATAATTTAAATTCAATAATGCCATATCCATCAAGGCAAGTAAAAACATTGTCAGTAATTTAAGACAACAAGTTATCCTCTTTTGCATCTATAAAAGGCCATGTGAACATATTCAACTATAAACATAATTATAAGGGAACAAATATTTGGCAAGCTTTTAGGATCAGATTTTAAAATACCTACTGAAGATGTAGACCTCCCTCTAGTGGCGAAAGAAAGAACTGTTGGACTCAGCAGTCAAATTGAAAAACTGTGTAGGTGCTTTTACAGCAACATATGCTTGATTTGACTTAATACATCCCAATGTATGGCATTTACTGTTAAGTATTCCGACCACTTTGTTAAAAGCGTACCATAACTAAGAGATCTTGTACCTAGAGGCTTATTTACACACGCTAAATATCACCTTGCAGAGACTTGTTTTGTGGTGGAATACCACTTGAGTGAACATTTCATCACCTTCATTATTTTTTACACATTCGTTTGTGTAGAAATACAGCTGCAAGCCTGATCTGTCTTAAAGACTCAACAGGTTTACAAGTGGCAATGTTTTTGAATGAAAGAAGCAAACATTATGGTTAACACTAACGCTTCCCATAATCCTTATCAGTTATTGTTAGACGAGTGAATGTGCTTCAGCAGCTGAATACCTACTTAAATGTTTCTGTATGCATTCAAATGAAAGTGATTTAAAATGGTCCCTGCATGCAATTGCATTACCACAGAAATATGGACGAGAATGCATTTAAATGTGTTTTATCATCTAGATAAGGTTTGAATTATTCAAAAGTAAATTTTCATACAAAACTAAAAGAAAAAAAGGATCACAGATGTAGTCGTCGAAGATGCATTGCTATTTTCAGTATTAAGACTGCAATTAACTAATGATTATTTCAAATTTAAATGTATCCGTCGAATATTTTCTAGATTAAAAGTTCGTTTAGAAAATGTCAGAAAATAGTGAGCATATCTAGCAGTTACTCCATGTACACGGTTATTTCTCTAGATGTCTTGTTCAGTCATTCCAAAACATAACAATATTTGCTTTAATTTGATATAAAACAAAGAAATGCAAAAAACTCCATCTTTGAGATGCGAGGGAAAGCCTTTTCTTTGACATTCTGCATGAAAAATTACACTAATTATTGATCAATTATCAAAATTGTTGGCAATTATATTTTGATTTTGGCTGATTTGTTTCAGCTCTAGTATTAATAACACCACATTGGGTAAAAACACTGTGAACCTTTATTGACAGCAGCATGTATACTTTAGTATATATCTGTGATTATTGTGAACATTTGCTGAAGCAGATAAAAAAGGAGGTCTAGGTGTGAGTCCTAGCATTCATAAAAACAAAACATTACACTAAAAACAACGTATAAAAAAACAAGTTCATAAACAAAGGCCATTTGATTAGATAATGTAAAAAGGGAAACAGTAAAGACAATCCTTCATTTACCAGGCACTTAAATGAGATCTGGTGACCCAGGGTCACTCTGTTGACCTTTGTTTTAACATATTCGGCTTTCCAGGCTGAACTGAGATGGACTGAAAGAACACATAGCATCAGAGAAGTACCTTTCTGTTATAAACATAGTTACAAAAAAAAGACAGGACCTTCAATATAAATAAACAGGCACCTGCATGTCCTACTACACAACATGATAGAGATAAACAGGGATATTCTTTTTAAGTGAAGTTAGTGCATGGCTTCTACATTATGTACACATTGCCTGGTGTGATGGTCCACTCGGCAGCATTGCACAAAACAATTGGACCCGGAAAAGGAAAACTGTGATTGGACCTCTGAAGAAATGATGTCGCAGGTTAAACACAGTGATAGGCTGCATGCCTGCAACATGATCATGTGATTAAAACGGGTGTTCTTACCCATAGGCCGTGACCGATAAGCACCTCAAAGTTAATACTAACAGAACACACTCATAAAACTCCCACACTGGCACAAACTCATCTATTCAATATATTCCTTGGCTATAAACTTGATCTTTCTTTGTTCATGTTCCTGAAGTGTTACCATAACACAGATTTCTTTTTCCACAAGTCTCCTCACGTCGCAAAATGATAAGCGTAACAGCCGACGGACCTTCATGCAAACCTTGTTCCACTTCTTCTTTGAACGTACACTGTAGCATGGGAACAGTTCAGTGGCACACACACACACACACACACACACACACACACACACACACATTTTGGGGGGGGATAGAAGCTGGATTTTAGGTTCAAGTAGAAACGCTTCACTGAAGTCCCACTTTTCCTTCAATATTCTTTCATCCTTGACAGAGCAGTGAACCTCATTTTCAGGGGGGGTTTCATAAACGTCCAACAATGATTCCTGTTGATGGAGCCAGTTAGAGCGCTGTAACATACTACAAAGCAGTCTGGGTGTGTGTGGAGGGGGGGGGCGGGGTAGAGGCACTGAGGTTGTGAGGCTCTGTGAAACTCTGGGACAGAGCGACAGGCGGGGTCGCAGTGGAGCCACAGCTTGATGGGGGGAGGGGGTCGTCCTTGCCGCGTTAAGGCAAACTCCCGTCACTGCTCACGAGAACCCGCTCACACAGACGTGAGTGTGTTTCCACTGCTGTAGAATAAAGGAGTCTGATCCACACGCCCGCTGTTTGAAATGCATATTAAAAAAGTTTCTTCTCCTCAACCCACTTCCCTGAAATGTGTGAGACTAATATTCCAGAATTCCTGTCTTTATTTTTTTTTAAAGAAAGGAGGTCAGGGTTGGTGAGGGTCCTCTCAGACCTTGCTGTCAGAGGGCTGCTCTCCCAGGGCGTGGACGATTTCGGTGAAGGAGGGGCGCTCCTTCAGGCTGAGCGCCCAGCAGCGGGCCATGAGTTTGTAGATTTTGGAGGGACATCCGTCAGGCAGGGGCAGCTTCAGCTTCCCTGTCTGCAGACCTGCAGGGCGGTGGAGCAGAGAGAGGGGAGGGGGTTAAAGCAGGTTGTTGATTACAAAGGCCATTCTTTGAGATTGCAGCACTAAGTTATAATATGTAACATTTCTGCATTTAAATATTTAAAACGACAAGAACTAGGTTACGTTTTTTGCCGAGTTACACAATTAAATTGTCCCAAGGGGTGTGTGTGTGTGTGTGTGTGTGTGTGTGTGTGTGTGTGTGTGTGTGTGTGTGTGTGTGTGTGTGTGTGTGTGTGTGTGTGTGTGTGTGTGTGGCGGACAGGCCATCTGTAGAATCACAGAACGGCCGGTCGTCAAGGGCTGTTGACGGCCGGCACCGCCCTTACATTTTTATGTTTTTAAACAGCATCATTGAAGTTGCACTGTCATTTCCCCACGTAAACATAACAGTCTGCAATGAAATGGTTGTCTCCTCCTGTGTGCTCCACTTGGCGCAGCGTTAAACGAACCCGTTATCCCGACTTTTTTTTTCTCTCTCTCTTAGGGGCTCCGTAGTTTTGCCAGAAGCCATCACTAATTTAAATCCATTTTGATTTTTGCCATGCACTTTGAAATCTTTTTTAACTATATATATTATATTCAGAAAGGGATTTTAGTCATCTAACGTCTGCATTCAAGTTCAGCGTTCCTTACAAAGTCAAGTTCAAGCACTTTTGGAGCATTTCAAGGGGCATGTTTAAAGCTTTAAAAGCACCTTGGAACTCTGGTAACTGACATTTGAATACACAATAAATGCAGACTTTTCATAGCTCTCCCTAAGCACATTAAATTAGATGCGCAGATACAACCCAAATTATGTTTCATGACAGCATTCTACAGAAAAATGGCAAATTAAAGGGAAAACACAAGAAAGTTTAATGATTCAAAATGTGTCACTTTCACTATTTTAATCAGACTTTGAGTTTTGGAGATATACCATACCCTTAGCTTTTAAGATTTGACATTATTTTCATTACTGATGCTTTTATTTTATACTTCTTGTATTTAATTCAGCATTTTATTGTTTTTTTTATTTGTGTGATGGAATTTGGTCTGCATGTTTGTATGAAAGGTGCTGACTAAATAAATAAAGTGTATTTGAAGGACCTTGTCATCTTGTCTGTTTGTGAATATGATCTAAAAAAGTTTTTCTGAAGCTTCGTACTGACCTTCCAGCACCTCGTCGTCGCTGAGTTTGGTATATGGCATCTCCCCGTGACTGAACACCTCCCACATCAACACTCCGAAGGCCCACATGTCAGACTTGGTGGAGAAGTCGTCTTCAAACACCGACTCTGAGGGGAGCCAGCGCAGCGGGATCCATGCCTGCCTGTAGTGATAGTACTCACTGTAGCACACAGGAGAATGATAAGGGAACACCTCGGATTAGCAGATGAACAGAGATGTTGAAGAACATGAATCAGAACATTTATTAAAGTGCGTGATTATTATCAAACTAAGTCCCTTTCTACGGACCTGTTGTAGACGTCCTTGCTGAGGCTCAGCGCGGACACTTTGACGCGCCGCTGACTGTTGATCATGCAGTTTCGGGCGGCGAGGTCTTTGTGAACGAAGCGGTGATTGGACAGATGCTCCATCCCATGAGCCACCTGGGCACAGATGGAAACCTGAAGGGAAAGAAAACAACAGAGAAACTGTCAGGGTGAAGTGACTTTGAGAATACATTTACAATGCAGCAGCGGTTAGCATTGGTTGCATCAGGCAGTTAGGAATGATGCTGCTGTATGAGGGCCAGTATAAGAAAAGAGATAAATCACTAAATTACAGAGCCAGGGGGGGGGATATATTACAAGAAAGAACGTTAAACATTTCTAAAGAAAAACCTTACAAATGTACAAGAAAACCATTTCATATTCTGTGAGAATATAAAAATCATACATTTGTGTGGAAAAAAGTTGGAAATAATCTGAAATCAAGGTCAAGAATAAACAGAAAGACCACAACGCTTCAATTTGTGTAACACCAAAATTATGACTTTTAATCTAAAACAATATCAAAACACAGTCCAAACTAATCTCTGTGTTTTGGATCTCCACAGATCAAGAAACTGTCCGACAGGAAACCATGACTTCCAAGGATTTCACCTTGGCTTTTGTACGGATCAAAGAGGATCTAACGTCTTAATTAGAGGGCTTATGTTAATTTTTCTTGACCTTTGGGTGGAGCCAGGTTAGCCCACGGTTTAGCTAAACTATGCCAACAGTGTCCTGGCTGTAGCTTCATATTCAGCGTACAGCCACGAGAGAAGTACTGATCCAATTATCTAAGAGTGTAAAGTGTCTAGGGAACGTGATATTTACAAGAAACTGGAATAACAAAAAAAAAACTCCAACAATCTTAGTATGCTGAATCCGACATACATTTACATTTTCTTATGTTCAAGCTAGATAGTGTGCAGGATGCAGGATGCTGGGAGCTGTAAATTAGGGAACAACACTTACTTTGGTCTTGGTGCTGATTGGCTGAGATTTGACCTTGTCATCTTTGCTTTTGGAAATTCTCAGGAACTGCTTGAGGTCTCCCTGGTGTGATAAAAACAGAACAAATTGTTACATCTGCTAACTGATTGAACACTTCTGTGTGTCTTTCTCTGTGTGTTCTCACCAGGTCGTAGTACTCCAGGATCATGTAGTGCGGCTCGGCCTCCCTGCAGAGCCCCAGCAGCTGCACCACGTTGGCGTGGCTGAGCTTGGCGAACATCTCGGCCTCGCGGCGGAAGTCCAGCTGCAGCTGCTCGTCTCTGCTCTGCAGGCTCTTCACCAGCACCACCGTCTCCTCCTCGCTCTCCTCTATACCCTTAGCTTTGCACAGCAGCACCTCGCCAAACTCCCCTTTGCCTGAATGAGAAAAGAAACAACCTGATATTAGCTCAGAGCTCACAGACAGTCGTTCTCAGAGGAGGATTGTTTAAGTCAGTGTACCTAAAGTTGTGATGGTTTGCAGGTTTGCTCGGGGAAAGTGGAGCTTATCGTTGTTCACATGGCTGTGGCGTTTCTCTGTTGTTGCTATGGTACCCATGTTGGTGAGTGCCACTTCTTCCAGGATCTCAGCAGTGGTGTGGCCATTTTGTTGAATGGCACCCCCTGACAAACACAACACACATCCCACAGGGTCAGAGGAGATATGAAAGGGTATTAAAAGGCACCAATATAGGGAACTACGTCCCGATACGGTTTCCTTGTCATAACAAAGCAATATCCGTTTCTCTGCACAGCCAAAAATGAAGTTGGTATTAAATGTAGAGCAGAGACTCTTTTTAGAGTGCCATTTTTGCAGCACTGTTAATAGTAAATCAAACTGTGACTTAAAACGTCACTACAATTTTCATTAAAAAGGTGAAAGATATTGTCGTATGCTGAAACTTAATAAAAAAGGAGAAAAGGAAATGATACTAATTCCTAGAGACGAACCCTAACAGACAAATTCGGAAAACTGAAATCAACTGAAATGTAATGAAAAAATAATTCAAATGTCTAACATTGGTTCTGACATGTTCTAAAAAACTGTTCATTTTTTTTTTGCAGCTGCTCCATTTCCTTAATAACTCACTAAGAATTCAAAAATGTTTGTATGCATATAGAGAGCTGAGTTTGTTTAAATGTCACTTCTACAGTGTAAACACTTCACTCAAAATAGAGACAGCTAATTTCTCAACAATTTGAAGGGAACTTGCGACACATGTTTAATGCAATACCCTAGACAAACACAAGATGGCAGCAGATATCCTAAACCTTCCACAACGCACTGAGGAACATGAATTGAGGGAAAATCAACCCCTCACATCAATAACCCCCTGGCTGACTTTAGAACTGCCTAACCACACATTCAGAAAGCCTCTCCTCCAGCACCGTACCGTTGAGACACTCCATCTCGGGCTCCTCTCCGTCCTGGCCTTTGTCCAGCCTTTTGGCGTTGCGTCTCTTTTTGCAGTAGAACATGAGTCCCAGCACGACGATGATGTAAGCCACGGCTGCTCCCACCGACAGGCCGATGGTCTGGATCATCTTGTAGGGAGCCTTGTCCTCCACTTCGTCAAAGTTATGCAGGTTAGGTTTTTCTGTCGGGCACAGGAAGAAATTATGGTCAACTAAAAAAGCTCTGGAACAGTACAGGATGTGTTTCTATTGGCTAGCGCTCCAACAAACTGTACATGACAGGCTAAGGGGCGGGACATCTTTAAGTGGTTGACCAATCACAACAGAGCCGGCCAGCTAACCAATCAGAGCAGACTGGGCTCTGGTTTCAGACAGAGGGTGAAAAGAGGTGCTGCAGCACAGGCAGTATGAGACAAATAAAGAATTTGAACATTAAAGCATGGAGACATGTCACCAGGCGCGCCGGATTCATTTTAGAAGTGGGGGGGCCAAAAAAGTGCGTGTGTATGGCCCAATCCCAAACCACGCCCTACACCCTACCCCTACACACTCCCCCCTCTGTGACGGAGTGAACTCCGTGGAGTGACACATGAGGCTCCCTCCTGTCAGATGGAGGGAGTAAATACAGCGGCAAGCTTTGGGACAAACTCCCCTCTCTCCGGCAGAAACAGGAAATGCCGTAACTGTATCAACGGTATCAAATCAGCATCTCTTTGACAAAAAATGTAAATTAATAACTAAAATAAAACTCCAAACATCTCTAATTGTATTACTTTTTTGTAAAGCTCTTTTAGTTTTAAACCTGATGTTTATAAGTTTCTTAGTTTTTGCAACAGTCTGTAAATATACACAACTTTATAATAAAATGCACACATTTACCTTTTTCTAGACTAAACACAGGTAGATCCTCAGTTAAAAAAATATGAGGTTATCATGAGGTTGTTAACATCGCAGTTTATCAGTGGATGTTTGCTGGAAGCACAATAACTGCATGTTTTGCATTGCTTTTAAATGTCAGTTAATATAGTGGTGAGAGACTCCCGATACATTAGATTTATAAGTTCATTAATTGTCTCATGATGCATATTTCCCGGTGAGCATGAAGCTTTTCAGAGTGGGGTTTTTCTCAGCTACGAGTTCTTTTGGAAATTGCTCTCCTTATCCGCCCTGATTATGCCCCCTGATTGCTAGGCCCTGTCGGGTTAGAAACTGCAGACAGCGCAGTTGCTCCATCATTCCATCTCTTCTTTTTTCCTGCTCAATACGCTGTTGTTTGACAAGCTGTATGTTGACTGGTGTTTGACTGAAGAAAGCGCACTTTTTTTTAATACACTCTCTGTGGAAATTAGACTTTTCGTGGCTGTCCAGGAGGCTTGGGCACTTTTTCCAGTTATTAACTCCGATATTAACAAAGCTATCATCTCCACATTTTGAGAAAGTGACAAGCCGTTTGACAGCAGCAAATCTGCATATTTCACAGAAGGCCCGTTTAGTGGTTTTGCAAATAATTAACCACTCTCTGTTTTTGTACCATTCTGCGTTGAAGTACCTTTCTCTTTGCCCAAATAATCTAGCGGTCAGTTAGCTGCAGCATTACCCGTCTCAATGTCCCGACAACAAACCTCCATGCAGTCGGAACCAGCCTGTTTCGGTTCAACGACGGCGGTGGCGGTGGTTTTGACAGTCTCTGCGGCCGCAGAGCTGCTGCTTTTGGGTTCATCTGGCTTCGCTATTTCTATGATTGATGAAGGTCCAGGCTCCGGAGACGTGGATGTCAGGGATGTGACCTTCCAGTTGTTAATTTAAGTTTAGATTGACTGTATAGTTTTCTTATGCGCTGGTTCTTCTGACGTGTTTGCAAGTGTATATTTTTTCTATCTAGGTTAACAGCTGACACACACAGAACAACGTAACAAATAAAGTAAACAACGTAACTAATAAACAAATCTAAGCTTTTTTATTGGTTGTAATGTACATGGATACATTTGAATGGTGTGACAATGTCCTATTTGATTGGGTTAAAATGTACATATTCTTCCTGTTATGTCTGCCTGCTTTATTTTACCTAATGCAAAGTGACCTGCTCCATCGAAATCAGTCGCATTGACCCGAAGACACATTTTGAGTTGTATACACTGTTGGAAAGAGGAGATTCATAACTTTCTAATGATATCAGGATTGTTGTTGTAGGCTACTCCAAATATTAAGCAAAATATGTCACATTATATAATGACTGTTACAGAGTCATCATTTTGAGAAAAAGGCCTTTAAAGTTTCCTCTTCTCTGGATCGATCTGATTGATTATTAGCGGAGCAAATGATCAAAATAGTACGAAGGGAAGATAGGGGAAGCCCGCGAGTGTGTGTGTGTATATACGTGTGTGTTTGTGTATTTTTGCGTTTGTGTGTATTGTGTTTGTTTCCCGGGGAAAACACTCACGAGAAACACCGGCTGTTATGCCTGCAGTGACGTAAAGTTACTCCGTTGTTTGTAATTATGCCGTTACAAGCTTCAAAGTTGTATTTATGATCTGAATTTGCCAAAACAAGTTTAATATTCTGAAAGCCAAGACTTTGTTTATTTGAAATCAGATAAAAACAAACTGTAACGGACCCTGCCGTGTTATCTATGATTACTATACGCCTTACATTCATAATTTCAGCAGAGGGAGGGGAAGCGGCGCTGTGGAACAGCAGAGTGGCGAGTGAGAGCTTTACAAGCTTAAAAAATGCCTGTAGCTAATGAGATTGAATATAACAATCAAACATAACAAAATATACACAGCTATATCAGATCGCGTTTTAGATGCGACTTTAGAGTAGAGGGGAATTATTGAAACGGGATTTGTACAGTGTTCCACGGCATCCGCCGCTGCGAAAATGTGGGGCAGGGCTGAAAAGTGGGGGGGCCAATGGCCCCCTGGCCCCCCCGCTTCCGGCGCCCTTGCATGTCACGGTATAAGAACACAATACAATTGTGAAACCTTTAAATGAGCATATAGGGCCCCTTTAAAATGGTATGGTTTTACTTTTTAAAATCCTCTACAGTAATGATGTGCAAAGTTAAATCAATGCATCAACTGTTAAAAAACTGTTGGACAACTATTCTGTCCTACTGAAGCAGTCAGCAAACACTCATCTGTTTTGTTTAGACATTTGCATTGGATTTGAACACAGTGAAAACCATAATACAAAACATACAGTAACCTCATTTAACTACAAATCATTTTGTCTACACTGCTAACACTGTTACTTTTCTGGCTTTGCAGGACAGAGCTGTCACGCTGACCCTGGCAAACATCTTACATTGAATTGTCTCCTACTTTAAACTAATCTGGATCCTGCTACTTTGGGAGAAAATGATTGGTATGGGAGACTCATGCGAGTGTGTGACTGTGATTTTCAGCATCAGTCAGCACACAGGGAGCCACAGAGTGAGGCTTTATTAGATCGAACGTCTGCCCGATCCCCTCACCTCAGTGACAGCGGCGGTGTCAGAGACGTGGTCGAAACGCACGACAGGCGGAGGGTAGAGGTTTAATTAATGCTTCATCCGCTACCTGTGTGCTCCTTTGTTCCTGATATAGGGAGCCTGTGTATATACGTCAGTGTGTGTTAGACTCACCCACTACATGAAGCTGAGCCATGCGGTCTTTGATGCTGCAGCTGTTTCCCGCCACACATGTGTATCTGCCCGTGTCATCTGTAGTCACATCTGTAATCACCAGGGAGCCATTTGGCATCTTCTGGAACCTGGAGGAAGAAAGAAGGGACGGAGAGATGTAGTGGGTTCACAACAAAGTCCACCAACATGCACACACACATATATTTACATTTCTGACGGAATGCACGAAAACTGGCCAAATATAGATATTCTATTTTAGTCACTTTATTCTACATTTCTCATCTTAAATTGTTCCCAAAATGTTTACGCAATACAGTTCCTGTAAAAACATTAAATTGTGCATAAATGAAGTTCCTCCTAGTCATAATTGTGCTTTTTCCAAATAAGTGCAAGGCTTGTATATTGCTAAGAAAAACAAGGCCACATTAAGTTGAATGTGACAATGCGCCCTGAAACTACTAAAGATTCAAAAGGCGTAAAAGCATTAACGTTTTTAGGTAAGACTACAATTGAAATGTTTTATTTGTTGTACTAAATGTAGCGAGAGGCTGACATCTGTTCATGAATCGTACAAAAGGTTTGGATGTTCACATTCAAGTGTGTAATACTATATTAGCACAAGCTAAATCTAGAATCAATGCAAAGACATGCAAGTGCAATCACAAACTCCACCAGGTGTCTCATTTACCTCACAAAATCTTCCCAAATTGGGATCAATAAAGTTCTTATCTTCTCTTATTTACCTCCTGTTCTTACTGATGTCCAGCGTCTTGTCTTTAACCATCCAGTGGATGTGGGGCTCGGGGTCTCCGGTGGCCTGGCAGTGCAGGATGGCAGTGTGGCCCTGGTACACCGTGGTATTCTCTGGCTCCAACTTAAAGCGAATGTACACTGTATGTGCACAAACACACACATGGACACATTGGTTAATACAACCACAACTGGGCCGTAACATTTCCTGTGGTTACACTATACAACCCAAATGCTATTTATTACTGGGCAATAAAAGTGCCACCAAGTACACAATAAAGGCTGCAGTGTGTGCCACTTGATGAGAATGATCAATGACTCAGATGTGCTGCGACCACAAGTGTTTGACTGGTGACTAGCATGGCAGCATGGCCCTGTAATGTAAGCTGTTTACCGGCCACTATGAGGGTCACCAGGGCCCTGATCTCCCCCTGCAGGCTGTTGGAGGCGATGCAGGTGTAGTTTCCGGCGTCGCTGCGGGTGACTTTGGTGAAGTGGAGCTGGCCGTTCCTCTGCTCCACCCGAGGAGGCAGCTCTCCTCCGTCTGCAGGGGGAGACAGAGAGACACAGGGAGGGGGGGGTCAGGCTGGTGCTGCATGTGGTTAAATCGACTCCATCACAGCAAATGCAGATGAATGGGGGAAATGATCCATGATGATGAGCTTTCCTCACACTCTGTTTATTGCAGATTCTGCGTGTGGTTCTGCACATTCCTGAGGAAACCTCTTTTATCATCATTAGAAGAAAAAGGACTATGAGGTGCGGATGAGAATTCTTCTGAAGAGTGATACAACAGTTAATTTTAGCTCGCCCACTAAATCTAAAACCCATATTCTTCCATTTTTCTTATGTAGATTGATGTAAAGTCGTTTAAAGGCAGTAAATATGTTTGTCTTCTCTTGAATATAATGGAACCAGATGGCACTCAGCTTGTGATGCCGAAGCACCACAAAAATACATTTAAAAACCCAACAGCATTGTTATTTTCAAGAAATAATTACCTGGTTATTCAAGATAGTCCACAGTCATGGTGTGAGCAGTTTCATATAGAAACTGTTTTCTTTCTATCGAACTACAGGTGTCAAAAAGTACGAGTAGATGTACATGCACGCTTGCTTCTGTACATTACAGAGAAAATAGTCCCTACGTGAAACTGCTCACAACAAGGACCATGGATTATCTTGAGTAACCATCATTTCTGGAAAGAGATAGTTGCTCTTTAAGGTTTTTCTTTTATTATTATTTTTTGCCACTTTAAGTGTGCACTCGTCACACTATTATATTCAAGAGAAGGCATACATCTCTACAGCAGCTATCCACAACAACTAGCAACTCAAGCTAAATATACTTGATCGATAAATAGCCCTAAAGATAAGAGAGAAAACAAGAAGTTTAATATTTTTGGGTGTGCTTTTTAAGCTTGGCGTGGCTAGCCGTGGCGTGCTCACCTGCTTTGGTCCAGCGGATGGTGGGGGTCTCTCTGCCTTTAGCCGAGCACTGGATGGTGATCTCGTTGTCCAGCTCCAGGCACTGAGAAGGCTGGGGGGTGGGGGTGAACTTCAGCTTCTCTGAAACACAAGTCAAAACACCACGCACATTACACATATGATAAACCCAGAGAGAGGGGGGCGGCTGGGTCAAAGCCGCTTTTGTGCATCTCAGCCTGCACATGAAATCACAGTAATCTGACGCACTTCATGCTCAGACACATTCATGTACACACAGATCAGATGAGTCTATCAGAGGCTGAGATCATATAAACAGAGATTGCAAGACAAAACAGTGACATGTCAGACAATTTATCACGGTGACCCTATAGCTGATAGGGATTTATCAAATCAGATAATGTGCAAAAATGGAGGCAAGAACAAAGCTGACGTGCATGAGTCATATTTTACACCTCTGTGGGTGTCCTGCAGTGTGCCCAGAGACAAACATGGACATGCTCTTCCTATTTCTGGAAACACTCACAAGCCCAGAGGCATGACCACATTTGTTTCATATTTTCCCTCGACAATGTATTACTCATTACGCCCTGGAAATGATTTAACTCATTACAAATCATCTGTGTGGGGGATAATGGCTTCAAATAGCTGCTTAGTGTACGCTCTGAGTATAATCTACTGTATATATTGATCAGCTGGTGGATTCCCCTCGAGGCTTACCGAGCACAAAAACGCGCGCCTGCCCAGACAGTCGGCCGCCCTCCGTCTTCGTTTCACAGCCGTACATCTGCTGGTCGTACACCTCCACGTTGTTGATCCTGAGGGTGCCGTTAGGGAACAGCTTGAAACGAGAGTCCTAGAAAGAAAAAAGGAAAACAAATACATTGAAATATCTCTATCTAGGACATTTGAGGGAAGGAATTGTTCAACATATGGATAGATATCTGGTCAAAATATTGTTAATAGCCAGCAAAAAAGCAATCACTAGAATGGTGCAAGGTGGAACCTCCTACTGAGGAACAATGGGAAGAGATCGTAGAGGAAATCAATCAAATGTAAAAACTGACATATCGGCTGGGGCCGCAAGAATCACAGTTTGAATACAAATGGAGGAAATTGACAATATTTAGAAACCAAACAAGCGACAAGGATTACCAACTACTTTGTAAGAGGGACTGTAATAACAATTGGACGAATGGGAATGTGACTGCATTTTTTTCATTTGAACAATTGTTATCGTTATAACTATTGTATTTCTATAAATGGCTATGTTGTTTTCCAATTGTGTGGGCATGTACATGTGCAATGCTGTTTTGAATGTTTGGGGAAATTCAAATATTGTCCATGATAAAAAGACACTTTCATCTGTGTGGTGTTTTAGTTTTTGGAATCCGACCTCTGGTGTGAGCATGATGTTGTTGCGGAGCCATGTGACCTCAGGTTCAGGGTTGGCCTGAGCGTGGCAGTGAAGGTAGCCTGGTTTACCCTCCTCTAGGTGGCTGTCCTGAGGCCTCAGCACCCACACTGGGGCAGCTGTGGACACACACACAGAAATGTGTTATATAAGCACAGACATTCTACACCAGTACAGTACACACAGAATAGCTCCTCAGCTGCATATTCAGTCCCTTAAAGGAATACACAAAGTGTTAGTGAGCTTGGCCTGTGGTCAGTCTAAACATAGACTCCATTTATTATCTCTGTGTATCTGGTAGATGCTCTCAGTGTTCCCAGCAAGCTCCTGACATTAAAGGCTTACTGTAATACAAAGAGCACTTCAATGACCTATGCTAGCCCATATTGGCTGGTTTATATTCATTTGTTTTCATTAATTTTTGGGTTGCTATAAAAAACTAAAACTCAAGAAATGACGGTATTTTAGTCACACAACATGGATTTTAGAAGATGCCTAAAATAAAGCAGCAGAGCCAGAGATAAACTTAATCTTCAGTAGGTGTGAAGCAATATATAGGGATTGATAATAGCATTGTCATAATCATTATCATGTTTATTATATATTTAAAATAGAATAATCTCCGTTTAACTGATATCATTTATTGTTTTTAAATATTCTGATAATATCATTTTTGTAAACTCTTCTGGACACTGTCATCCTTTAGAATACATCTAATAGAGTGATATCTGACATAAAAACCCCTGTTCTCTAGTAAGTGTAAAGCTAGCGAAACGCCGGATCCGTTCTTTCCCATAATGCTTTGGTAAAGCATCTTTCAACAGTTCTCCTAAATTACCACTTCTTTCAAAGCCCAAGCAGCTACTAATGCTTGTTTTGTAAATGTAAGATTAGCTTAGACTGAGGCTTTTTTTTCAGGCATTATAAAACAGAGGTTTTGTTCTCTTGTGAAGGCTGAAACAAACGTAATGTGTGAACATCATGCAGCGGTGTGTGTTCGACTCACTGGCCACGGTGAAGGTGACCTCCAGGGTCCTGCGTCCCGCCCTGTTCTGGGCCACGCAGGTGTATGTGCCCGAGTCCCCTCCCTCTGTGGGACTGAAGACCAGATTCAGGCCGTCCTGGTACACCCTGCCCTCCGTGGGCACCCGCTGACCCCCCCTCTCCCACCACACCTCGGGCTCGGGTCTGCCGCGTGGGGGGGGGCAGGCCACCCGCTGCAGGGTGTCCGCTGTGAAGACCTTCGACATGTTGGGCACCATGTCGTCGATCTCTGTTGTGGGAACAGAATTTTTCAGCATGAAGAAGCAATTTGAGTGCAGGGTAAATTGATTCACACAAAGCCAGTGATAATCATCAATCTGCCTTCAAAGCCACGGAAGCGTTACGGATTCAGGATTTCACGAGCAGCCCCGAGCTAAATTATTTCCAACGCACAGATCCGTCTTGTTAGGAAAAGTCCTCTGATTTGTAGCGCAGGGCGCAGTAATTAGAGGACAAAGCGCACAGTAGTTTAACTGGGTATATATAGGTTGCACGGGAATTATCTCGGGTCTGGGTGAGGTGGGTCATATCAAAACTGGCAGCCCCTTATACGGAAAGTGGAATGTGATCTGTGGTACAAAGACTCACAAGACCTCCCACTACACTGTGGTTTAATACTGCGAGTCCCAAATGGAAGTCATTAATACTTTATTGGCCGACATTGCTCTGAAAGCTGGTCAGTGGCCGCGACCTTCTACAAGACTAAGATCTAAATCGATTAATGAACAGAGGAAAACACACATTTCTCAGCAGATGAAAGGAAAGTAGATCTGGGAGAAAGAAAGAGGAAGGGGGGGGTGAAATAAATGAGGTGGAGCCGCGATGGAGTGACTGTTTCAACTTGTCCCTCAATAATGAATTCTACTGTGACACAATCCCCTATAATGCCCGCGGGGATTACCATCAGATTAAGTGAATTAAGGTATTTAAATGGAGCTGTGGTTCACTGGGTTAAAACTGCAGATCCAGTCGTAGCTCCTTAATCCGAAACCCTTGGGGGAAACAGGGAGCTGCTCGAGTGGAATAAAGTGATCGGGAGAACTCATAGAAACGCATAGAAATTCAAGCTCTAAGCTTACACAAAATATTTGACTTGCATGCACATGCATTTCAAAATGACGGCCGATTAGTAAAATGAGACTATGCTACCGATTGTTCCGGCTTTAAGATCAAGCCGCCATTTAAAACATTGGTTTAAGGAGTTCTCTTTGGAGAGCAGGCGCTGTTATTTGCTTAAAGGTCCCATGTCATGCTTTTCTGGTTATTACCCGTCCCCTTGTGTGTTATGTAGCTTTTTATGCATGTAAACGGTCTGCAGTCACAAACCCTCAAAGTACACCCTGTAGTGAGTAAAACTAACACAGAAAAGACCTGTCTATGCTGCCCCAAAACGCCTCGTTGGAGATTTCTCTTTTTCCATTGTTTACTTCTTGGGTATAGTGACGTATTTCGGGTATATTGACGTAACGTTTGGACCAATCCGCGGACTTCCTCACACACACACACACTCGGCGGGACGTTGTGAGGCTCGCTGCTGCGAGGAGCGGGACACTGTAAACTGGCTCACTGGTGTGAGGTCGGCAAGACAGCGAGACACCGCGGAACTCAGCCTGGGCACACACACAAACTCTCAGCCAGGCTGCGGGTGTGTGTGTGTTTCAGGTTGGGTTTCGCTGTGTCTCGCTGTCTCGCAGACGGCCACTGGGCTCACAGGGAGGGGGGGGGGGGCAGGAGCCCCAACAAGCCGTTTAGGACAGAGAGTGAATACACATGCTATACAGAGATGCTGTATGAGAAACCAATGTGAGTTTGGAAAATTGCACAATATAAATGTATTTTAGTAGACCTCAACAAGGGAATTATGATCAGTAGAAATGGCCATGACATGGGACCTTTAAATAAAGACAACTTGTGTCTGAACTTGTATATTACATTGTTTTCCCTTCACAGATTACAACCCAACCCGTGAACAACCACAAAATGATATTTGTTTAAAGTTTGTTGTTTGATTTTAAAGTGGTTAAACATACCCTACCATTTGTAAGTTAGTCATTTCCTACCAGGTAAATCCAAGGGATGGATGCAAATCACAGGGGCAGGTATAATGACATTTTAAAGCTCATAATTACACTGCTTGTTAAACCAGTTTGAGTCATGCTGGTACGTTATTTAGTGTTACTTATGCCAGGTGCTGTTGCAATACGGAGAAAGCTTAACAAGTTTGGCAAACAGCCGGACTGCTGGGGGAAATAATATGGAGGGGAAGCAGGAAAATGCTCCAGCGCGTGTGAGTGAGTGTGTGGTGGGTACAGCTGGGCCGGATGTCAATAAGGGAATGTGAGTATCATATGAGAGATCTGCCAGAAGAAGAAAGGGAGGGGAGAGAAGAATGAGAAGGAGGGCGGGATAAATATGTAATCCAAATGCCCCTCTCGCTCTCAGCTTACACAATCACAGGTGTTTATCTCTCAACACCTCGACAACTGCAAGTATGTGTGTGTGTGTGTGTGTATGTGTGTGTGTGTGTGTAGTGTGTGTACCGGCTATGAGGAGGGAGGCCTCCAGTGCAACATTGGACCCTGTGAGGCCGCGGCCGACGCACTTGTAGGTCCCTGTGTTCCTGGGCTTGACCTGGGTGATCAGCACTGTGCCGTTGGAGAACAGGATCACACTGCGGAAGAAGAAACACACGGTTAGATTCCAAGATCAGCTCAGTTAAAGTTGACTTTTTGTCAATGACCAACACATTATCTGTACATGGAGGCAAATGAACAGAAGCACACAGGAAAGTAAGACCACTCTCCCGTCGACAGATCTAGCTCCGATTGCATCTGAAAATAATTTGCTTTGGCATGCTGGGAGCACCAGATGGAAATGCTCTGCCACAAAGGACAATAGCAGTGCCACTATTTTAGAATATGAATTTTTCTGTACTTGGCAAGTTACCTGATGCTATCTGAATTGCCCTGATTCGATAAACCGAAGCCATCTGCTGCCCTAAATAGGTTAGAGTTAATGCTAAGAATGTGTCCACTGCGCACAAAGAAAAGTGTCCTACATAGGGATTTAATTTACAAAACGTCTTGTGCTTTTTTTTTAAAGAGGAGGATTGATGGCTGGCTTCTGGCAGGCTGAAGGGAGTTTCAGAGCCACTGATGGACGGATGAGGAGTAATTAAAGGCCAACCTAAAGCCAGCTTCGGGGCTGACAGATAAGGAGCTGCACTTCTCACTCTGCACGTGTAGAAAAAGTTCAACAGGCCGACTCAACAGCTCATCATGGCTGAATGATAAAAGTGTAGGAGGGAAATGTGAATATGTAAAGCAGAGAGGAAGAAGTGAAGGTGCTGCTGGATCTGTTTTTCCACTGGAGTCCCTGAGGAGGGGGGATATTTCTGTGTCATCTCTTATTCTCTGTTCAAAAGCAAAAGGGAAATGAGCTTTGGGAGTTTGTGTGAGGAAAAATAACCACAAAACTAAATGAACAAAGGCACATTCTTTTCCCAAAGCAATCATCTTTATATCTGCAAACATGGGCAGAAAGAATTGTTTTGGTTTCAAATGTTTCCCCCAAGAGTTGGTTTGACCCACGGGGCAGGACTCTCCGTGTGTAAAAACAGCCCTGAGCTTACGCTGGTGTATTTTTCCTTAGTCTGGCACATGTGAGAAACAATCCACATCAAATATTCACACATAATCTAGAGGGAGGGAGGGAGGGGAGGGGGGGGGGGGGGGGGGGGGGGGGGGGGTGTCTAAACAGTGCAGGTGTGAAACAGATGATATCTCCCACAGAGAGCTGCATTCCTCTGGCGTTGTATCAGCGCAGATCAATAAACAACAGCCTTAGAACACCCTTCACCACAAAGAGGCCTACGTTTTTTAATGAAGCAGTCTGTGTGTGTGTGTTTTTATATCCGGGCTTATTACCCATCCATCTGTAGTACTGGTGCTGAGTCAGCGCTCCCAAGGTGACCAAACCCGCCTCTGACAAGCTCATTACACAAGTGACTAACTATTGATGTTGAAGTCTTTCTCTCCCCTTGCTGACTGAACACAATAATCACTTAAACCGTCTCCTCATGTGGAACAGCTTGCCTGTAATGTGTCTATGTGTATGCGTGAGGTGCTTTGAACCCTGAGGGTATGCTTGGCACTTGGTATAGAAATTGGTTATTATCTAGCGCTTATGTGTTTATAGGGGACATGATGGTAAGCTGGAGTGTAGCTTGAGGGGTTTTTCCTCTCAGTGCGAGAACACCGGCGAGTTCCTCCTGATAGGCTGGGGAGGAAAAGCTGCGTTGGAGGGATCTAAAGAGAAACTTTACAGCGCTCGGTTCCAGGAATAATATTCCTTAAAGTGCAATCCATCTCGAGTTGTAGCGGTTCCACCTCATTGGGTTCAAAGGATTACCCGACTGTGGCTCAAGCCTACATAATGGTAAGTAAGATGGAATGAAGTGAAGGCAGTGAGGGAGATTGAGTCTAAGATGTACGATGAGAAAGAAAAGTGTTGCAGAGGGGAGGATTTAGCTCCCTACATACCGAGACTTGTTCACCAGCAGCTCATTTTCGTGGTACCATTCCAACGTGGGGGTCGGCTCGGCAGTGAACTGGCAGTGGAAGGCGGCCTCCTCGTTCTTCAGCACCACCTGGTCCTCAGGAGTGACCACCGGCCTCGGGAAACTCTTATCTGTCGGAGAAAGGTAGACAAACATCTGCATGATGACGTCTGCAGGTCCATCGAGCGCCGGTCTATTCCGGGCTTTATTAGAAGCTGTCAACAGCAGCGCAGCTGCTGAACAAGCCATCTTCAGGTGGCGGTGTGTGTGTCAACACCTCAGGGCCCCTCAGGGATAGTTAATGAGGTCAGTGAAGCGGCCTTGCAGCTTAACTGGACCATCATCTCCTTTTTTATCTCCTGGATCATGGAAGGAGGCCATCTCTCTTCTTTGTGATAATCTTAAATCACGCTATTGCAATAAATCGGGGTTAAAAGTACTTGAAAGGGGTTGATAGTTATGGAAAGAAGAAACATCTGTACCTAAGCCATCATTTAGATGTATACTTTTGAGCATAGAAAGAATAAGGCTGGTTATTTTGCATTTTCTAAACAATGGAGTTAGCGGATTTTTCCCAAATCACCTAAACATGCTGCTTATAATTTTCCTTTTTCACACATTCTTTTGACAAGGCAGCTGTGACCTGCCAACAGGAGAGATTTGGCACAGTACAGCCTAGAGGAGAAGTTTCTAGCAAACAGACTTTAGCACATTGCTATACAAAGCTGAAGGGTGTTGAGCTCAATGCAGAAATGGGAACACAAAAATACCCTTAATCCAGGTTTAGGTGTGTGAGAATTTGAAACCTGAACAGCTCATGGAGGTTTGGCGCCAGTAGCAGAATTAGGATATGGCTACTGGTTGGTGTGAAGAAAAAAGGCCCACACCTGGCCCACCCAGGAAGTCGGTGGGAAGGCCTCATCCTGAAAAGCAGTGACCGTTCATTGAAAAGCTGTCTAAATCTGTCAGCGTTTACCGAAAGGTGAAGCCCTATAGAGGAGCGGAGGGTGGCAACACGGTAACTGGAAACTCAACAATTATCCATTCTTCTTGCACACAGGTGCTAACCTAGCGTGTGTGTGTGTCGGTGTGTGTGTGTGTGTGTGTTGCAGGTGGCTAATTAGAGTGGAATGGGCATCAGGTTTCTGGCGCAGATGTGCTGCTGGATGTACTGTACTAAATCTAGTGTATGTGTGAGCCCCTCCTGTGTATTATCCCCCCAGTACAGAGAAAACTAAATAAGTCCTGTTGAGCCTGCAGAAAAACAATAATCTACCACAAAGAAAGAGTAAAAGGAGCTGTGTGTGTGAGAGAGCTTCAGTCAGATCAACAGAGCGCTGCTGCAGTGGGGGGGGGGCTGATGTTGTTGTTCGCTCTGTAGATGGTTATGATGTTGTGTCTGTGTGCGTGGGTGGCGACAGGAGGAAGGTGCTAACACACTCTCTGGTAATCACATTAGGAACTCCATCACTTTCTCTTCCTGCTCTCTCTCTCTCAACACTAATGGTCTGTATTCCCCTTCCTCCTCCTCCTCCTCCTCCTCCTCCTCCTCCTCCTCCTCCTGATGCTCTTCAAAACACTTCCTGGCAGGTGTGCCAAAATGGAAAAATTCCCTTAAGTGATTTTTCAAGCTAGAACGTCAGTTAACTTCTATTATGTGATGGGATTTTCTTTCTCTAATTAATATTATTTAAATGTATATATTTGAGTCACAAGAGTGTTGTTAAGCTTCAATTCATGTTGCCTCTATCTTCTAGATTAATCGAATGGTCTTTAAAATGCTAACAAATTGTGAAAAATGGCAATCGCAGTTCTCAAAGTCCAAGATGATGCCTTTTTGGTTAGTGGTTAAAATCACATTTTAAAATATCCATATTTCAGAGGCTGAAAAACTGCATTTTCTGCCGTTTTTGTAACAAAATTAACTTGTTATCATAAAAAAGGAGGCATTATTGTATCGTCATTCAACTAATCGATTATTCAAAACAAAAACAAAAAAGATTTCGAAGACATTACCTTGGGCTCCTGGAATTGTAGAGGCATTTCTCAATATCTGACGTTTTATTGACAAAGTATCCCCGAGAGCAGAGCGATCAAAAAAATAATAGCTTAAATAATCAATAATGAAAATAGCAATCAGTTAGTGGCTGAAGGTGTTTAGAGGAAAATAGTTTTCCAATTTGCAACTCTGTCATTTAAGAACACACACACACACACACACCTATGATGTTGAGAGTGAAGTTGCTGTTGCTGCAGACGTGTCCCGCTGCGTTCTTGGCGCAGCAGTAGTACAGGCCGTTGTCGTCCGGACTGGTGCTGGCGAAGGTGAGCGTCCTCTCCTTGTTGTTGATCTGGTGGCTCTTCTCCGTCAGCTTCGCCCCGTCCTTGAACCACTGACACGTCGGCCTTAAGGAGGAGAAGGAATAAAAGAAGGAGAGGTTTAGGAAAAAAGACGATCAAATTGGCGAGTCAGGGTGATTGATGAAGCCAAAACAGAAGGTGTGGAGAGGGGGGAGAGAAGAAGAATGGATGAAGAGGATCATAAGGGCATGAGAGAGGCCAACGATGACAGAAGAATAGTTTTTCCCTGCAGTCCTTGACATGATCCTTAACCCTGTGAGCTCTGAACTTGAGGTGACAGGAGGAGACTCACCGTGGGTGTCCGTCAATGTGACAGCGCAACGTGACCGGCGCGGAGCTCTCGATGTCCCCTTCTGAGGCGGGCTCCTTCAAAGTTACGCCGCCACTTTCCAACCCTGCAGAGGAAAGGGAAAAACAGAGGAGAGTGTAAGAGTAATGGCGGAGAAGGACAGGAGGAGAAATTGAGTTAAGTGGTGGTCCTGTCATGTGTCCTCGCGGCGCACGCTGCGATGATAATGGGTGCAGCCGAGAATGAAGGCACATCACTGTGACTCATGAGACAGCACTGCCCTGCACTCACAAGTCAGAGCCGGGCCTTTACAGTGCTTTTTAATGGACATTTAATGGACAGTTCATTGGCTTACTCTGTTAAAAAGGGCTACTGCTGTCAGAGCAACCCCGTAAACTCAGGCAGAAAGGAAATGAGCAACACAAAACAAAGTAGAATGTTGTTGTTTTAAAAATGCAGGAATAGTCCTTTAAAATGTCTTCAAAGCCGAACAGGTATGTCTCCGTTACACCACAACAAGTGATGAGAGGCATCACTCACACATGTAACGGGAAACCTGATCAATGGTGAGTGTCAGATGAGAGTAAATGAAGGAAACAGATGCCGGAGGAAATCGATCCAGCCGTCCCCTGAATGCATCTCGGTGTGAAATGAAGGGGAATGGCGTGGTTTTACCATTAAATGTTGACACAGTACACTGGGAAATATATATATCAGATACATGCAGGATGTCAAGAAATCATCACAGCAGCAAATCATTCCTGCTTTCTCCTAGGAGACGGACAACATACGATCATGTTTCAGTCTCAAAGGGAGACGACTAGATACATCTCATAATGAAACGAGGCGTTTTATCCCTCTTTCAATAAAAAATGATAGCTGTGGCTCCAGTAAGATAAACCTATTTGGTGTTGATGGAAATGTAGGGTCAGCTATAAAAATACTGTATTTGATCCGATGCAATGTTAGGGGACAATATGAAAATGTCATGTTACGATTTTCCTGGCAGATCATAATATTAACCCAATCGTCAAATGTGGTTAAAACGTATCCTAACATGGCGCTCAAACATACTGGAATAGCTTTACACTACACAAAAGCATTTTTATGGCATAACAGATGGGATGGAGACACGTAACTTCTTTGTAGTGAAAAACATCTTAAAATAAGGCATTAATAATCATAAGGTCCCCCTGCATAAATTAAGGATATATAAATACATTTCAAAAGGGAGTCTGTTCTTTCTTAAATAATAATGGATGTACTTTAAAAAAAAAAATGTATTAGACTATATTTTCACTTCTCGCCTAAGATAGCAAGCTAGTCAATTTTTTCTTTATATTGCGAGTGTATAACCTATATTCTCTATCCCTCATGGAGACACTGGCTAATATGCTGAGAAACACCCCGTTGCCGCTGAGCTACATCCACACTCAAGTCTACAGGATGATTAAATAAATAGTTAAGTTATTGGCGGTGCCTCCTTTGCTGAGTGACACCTTCGAATTGTCTCTAATAAAGCCTCAGTGTACCCTGCTGGAATTCCCCTTTCCCTGCTGAGTGTGTTGACTATACAAATACTTAGTGTTCACACTGAAGGAGAACAGGGACTAATAGTTATTTACGTGATGAGATATAGGTCTGTGGTTGCATGACGTGCAGTCTGTACCCCTGGTGTGGTTGTTGGGGGCATAACATTCAGTGAGAGAGCGTATTTGTTTGGGTTGCCCCAACACGACGAGGGATTTGTGTAGTGTGTGTGTGTAGTGTGTGTGTAGTGTGTAGTGTGTGTGTGTGTGTAGTGTGTGTGTGTAGTGTGTGTGTGTGTGTGTGTGTGCAAGACATTCCATGGAGCTGCACTGCTTTGGCCCGTGGCTTAATACAGCGGCTGCATCTCTGCTGTTAGGATCCACTATGAAATATGCATGGCATGAGCCTCCACCTGAGACAGCGGTGGAGAGAGGGGGGGGGGGCACCACTGTGAGGTCAGAGGGGGGCGCTAGAGGAAGAGCTGTCACAATGAATTACCCAGGAACCTGGTATTACAATGCACCCTGGGGGATCATGGGGAAACCCTCTCTACAGTAACAGGGCCCGCTCATTAGCTTCTTCCTAGCACAGATGCGCCGGCAACTGCGAGTGCACATCACGCTACATTGGATCAAATGTGTGTTTATGTGTGTGTTAGAGACAACTGTTTGTGCGAAGTAAAACACAGTTGAGGCTGCACCCCGAACCGTGTATGCATGTGTGTAAATGTTTAAGAGTTCTGCAGAGGATGCTAATTGGTTGAGTCAAGGTCGTCCCTAGTCTACAGCCCCTGTAGCTTCAGTGAGGAGGAGGAGAGGCTGATGAAGGCCACCTCAGCTACAGGGACCTGGGGCCAGACGCTCAGGCAGACCTGTTATTAGTGCAGTGGAAGCATAACCAGGCCGATAAAACCAGACGGGGAAACAGTGAGTCACGGAGGAGGAGGAGGAGGAGAGAGTGAGACGAAGTTGAGAAGGAACAACAAGTATCATGTGCAGCACGACTTGACATTTGGAAATGAAATCAAAGAATTTGTTTCAACCTGCCCGGAGTAACAGGTGGGTGTTTCCGCTGTCAAACTGTCAACCTTACAAGACATGGCTAAATGTTAGTTTCTCAGTGCTACTTTTATGACGTGTAATTTAAAACGCATAGTTTTACGCTACGTTTTAGCATAGCGTCTAAAGTTCTCATGCATTTTTGTTTCCTTAAAACGGAGAGGCCTGAAACGAGACACCAACTTTTTAAAGGGTGTTATTAGTAATAATGTTCCCTTCCCTTATTCGTCACACCACTGTCACATAACCCTATTCTAGAAGAAAATGATTGGCCTTGACCATCTGTGATTAATTCAACATGCATCACGTATTACAGGCATTGGTGGACTTGTCGTCTATGCTAGCAGCTGTCGCGCAGTTAAACTCCTCAAGTTATAATGCTGCTACTGCCTACATGCACAAAAGGCAAGCTGATATTGGAGAATTTACGACATTCTCCCAATTCAGCGGCATTAGGGTCACCTGCTTCCCGTTTAACGAAATTGGTTATGTGACAATTTCAGGAATGCTTGCTTTTGTTTTGTAATGGCGTATGAATAAACTAAAACGTATACGTTTGGATGTAGCGAGAGAGTCCATGTGTTTTTCTGCTGTCAATTGCCAATTAAAAACAAATAAAAATAGTGATTAAACTTTCAGATTTGAACATATGACTCATTGGGAAAACCCCTTTATACCTTTTTACAGTTGTGAAAAATATTTTACATTCCAGCAGCATGAGTGTGAAATGAAACAAGCTAAACAAACAGTGTTGGCAGCAAGAGAAACAATTCGAAAAAAAAAGGGAAAAAAAAGTAATCACAGTGCGGGACAGACTGCTTGACCTCTGTGACCTGACAATCATTGGGACAATGGGCACTTATCAACACTCACATCCTTGTCACTGTCTCAAGTTTCTGCCACTCCTGGCCTATTTGGTTCTCCAGTAGGTTAAAAAATCAATTCCTGATAATATCTCATTTCCACTTTGACCTGGATTTACACACAGTCGCACATTCTCACCCTTTACTCTGCTCATATATCTCAATTCACAGCTCGGGTTTCTCCAGCTGTCGCCTCGACAAACAGAAGGTGCTCTTTCATAACCTATTAGTGGCAAATACTTCCCCGTAATCCTTCTCAGAATGCATGACTAAGTGTTGGAGCAGGCCTGGCAGCTAACGCCATAATTAGGGGCGTATAATTATTATGTTGGAGGCAGAGCAGGAAGTCCTATCAACACGGGGATGATAACAGATGAAATGGGAGGATATTGTCGAGGCAGATGCTCGGACCGTTCATTCCTCGCTGTGCCAAAAGACAGCTGCGTGTTCGTCTGCTTCACTCAATGAGCTGATTTGTTGCCATGGAGAAGGGTTTTTACACAGAGGCAAGGTGGATTGTGTTATCCAGGGGAGAGCTCAGGGTTGGGATTTGACTGACGGCACCATATGGGCATGGAAAGAGCCAAAACATGTGGCAGAGTGGCTTCATAGTGTAAACGTTGTGCCCCTGGAGCCGCCCTGGGAGGCAGCGTGAAGGACTCAGCTTGCTGTTGGAGACGAGGTGTCAGATTTTATCAGCTGTGGCTGACAGGGGTCAACAGGCCAGGGGATAGCCACTCAGATAGATGCTGTTGCTGTGACAGGGCTGAAAGAGAAAGGAGGGAAAAAAGTCCAACAGTGGAGGAAAGTCACTCTGAAGGGGGGAATGTGACAAATGGAGCCTGGGTTATTAGGCTCCATTTTGTCAGCTAACAAAAGTGTGCAGGAATGATGACAGGAAGCGTGCAGCTGCACTAGCCATCAGTGAGGATGTACCAAATGTAGGTTAAGGACACATGCTGTGTGATTAAATCGAGATGGCGTGTGTGTGTGCGTGTGGAAGTGGCTCTGTGATTTGAGAGATTAAAAAGAGAGGAATATGCGCCTGCCTGCCTGCCTGAGTTTCCCCTGCATGTTTTCCCTTCTTCCTACAATCAACGATTTCCAAAACACTGTCAGTTTGCATCTCGTTACCCCGAGTCAAGCGAAGCGTTGCCTCCAGGACCAACAAACACACGGACAATAGTGAAGACTGAGTCCGACGCCTCTGCTGGACTCGGACGCGCCGTGGAGACCCAATGACCGGGAGGGACAAAAGGATAAGGGGGGGCTAAAAACCTCTATTAGTGAAAACAGAGGGGGGATAATTACTCTGAATAACTCTCAACTGGCAGGATTTGCCCACCCACCATTGAGAGCAAGACAAATTAACTCTCTCTGCAGAAGGCGGGAGGGGAGGGGGGGAGGGGAAACCAACTACTCAAGTACAGTCCATGTACAGTACATATGGAATACCCAACCCCGACCCCCCCCTTGCAACCCACACTTTTACGAGTATGCACGCAAACTAGCATACACATGAGTGAGCACACATGCAGGGTTAAAGCCGGAGGGGGTCTTTACTTTTGGACGTGCGCGTCTTTATCGCCCGTTAAATGCATGTTGGGGAAATATGAGAACAGCTGTCACAACACGCTCTGATCCACCTAAAGTGAGCCACCCGGCGTAATATGACAGAAAGACAAATGTGTTGTTACGCGCGGACACATGCCGCATACTGAGATGGTTAAGGATCATTTGTTACCTGTGCGTTGGTTTCAAGTATGCTACAACCTTTTTGGGTTTTCTCCTTTGGTTTATCTGAAGACATATCTGAGAAGTCTACCCCTGTAGATTGATATGAAGCTATTGATGTTATCATTTCTAGCATGTACTGAACTCTATCCCTTAATATCCAAGTATCGTCTATGTATCTGCTGTTTATCTCTGCTCTATGTACTGCAGGACTCAGTGTCATACTTGAAGGTGTGTTAGCCGGCAGCATACTTAGTGGACTTGCTAAAAGCCTCTTCAAGCAGCCGATTTCAAAGGCCTCCTTTAAAGGCTACTTGAAGATGCCCTGTAAACACCCTCAGAGGCAGATGGAGAATAAGGACATGTCACGTTCCAGCACATTCGGCACTACAAATTGTTGAGGAGTTTAAAAGGGGCAAATTGAAGCGGTCTTGTGTCATATTTAGAATTTTCATTTAATAAATAACTCATATTTAATCATTTTCTCTTATTGCCTATTTGTGTTAGAGCATTTCACATCTAAAAAAAAATAACGACCACTTATGTAAACAAGTGTCAACATACTCCAAATTACAATTATATACGAGTTCAGCAAGAATAAATGTGGCTTTTAGAAATGATTACTCCACCTTCCTTCCAATAAAAACATTCCTTTCTCTTCCAATGTGTGGGAATATTAATGGCGAAGCAGGTACTGAGGTGCATTCTGGGTCACGATGGCACATCTTAAGGCAGGTCCTCCTGGTCTAACTTGTTTTTAACTTTCTTTTAATGTGTGAGAGTTGTTTTTCTGTTGAGCGTTATTGACACACTGTATCATGTTTAATTGAAACGCATAAAAGCAGAGCCTTCAATATCAGACAAGGATTGGAAAACTGATGAGCTCCTTTGGGTTTATCTGGCTCAAACAACATGTAATAACCCTCATGTCATGGCAGCCCACAAATATCCACTGGTGGAGGCACATCACAGAGCAGGGGTTAAACCTCCGCCCGTCTCTCAGTCTGCCTACCAGGAGGTCCGGCCTCTCATCTGGTCTGTATCAGCCTTTGAACGGGTAACATCCCCGCAAAGAGAAACCTCCTGGCTGAATGGAGCTCGGGAGGACAACACAATTCCAGATGGAGCCATTTTTCACCCCGCTTGCTTTTACTACTGCCATCGGGACAAACTATCTCTCTGTTTGCGAGGCACAAAGGCTTTTTCAGCAACAAATGGTAACCTGAGGGCTTACCACAATACGTGGAACAAGGTTGTTATTTATCCCAAACGGGGCCGTGCAGAATTCCCATGGCTTCCTGTGAAACTTAAGAGGGTCGTTGAGGTTTGGGTAGCGGGGGTAAACAACAAAATTAAAATACTAGTCTGTCTCAACTTAATGGGACAAGAAAGTGAGGGAAGGAGAAGCCTGATGTGGATTAAAAAGCTGCAGCAAGGAGGGAAGAGTTAATGTTAAAGTAAATAATTACATAGCTAGAAAACAAATTATGCTGCTCAGTAATTTTCAGACAAAAGCCTTTTGATGGTATATGGGAAAAGAGGGTGTTGCACAACGGAGAAAAGAAAGATACAAGCAACAAGAAACACATGCTTGGTGGCGCACATATCCAGTTTCCTTTGGAGAGAGGAAGCCACAAAGAAGGAGGCAACAAGGTGGAAACATTCTTGCAGCTCATACTACCTGTCATCTTATACCGGGACTTTTGTTTGGCGTTTTTGATCCAGAAACTGGATGCTCGCCCTTGTTGCCATTATGAAACCCTGTCAGCTGGTGATTTTCACTCGGGAAGTTTTATTGGAATGAGGGTGAGAACGGCTCGAAATGAAACACTCACACTTGATATTGAAGGAGGCGTTGGTGGAGTGGAGGGATTCTCCTGTGGCCGAGTTGTCTGCGACGCATTCGAAGTTTCCCGCGTCCAACTGCCGATCCACCGCCGTGAACTTGAGGTTGCTGCCCTCCACGAAGCGCCTCTCGCTGTGCTCCAGGGGCTGGCCGTTGTGAAGCCAGCTGTACGTGATGTCGGCCGGATCGCTGACCTCGCAGCGGAGCATTGCGCTGCGGCCGTGCAAGGCATCCTGGGACTTGGGCTCCTTGGTGAACTGAATGGCGGCGGCCTGGATGGACAGCACTGGAAGGAGAGAGAGAGAGAAAGTCAATGACAGAGGATTAGAATGGTGCTGCTGTTAACATTTTACAGCTTTTTCCGTTCATTAAGTGTGTGCCATGGCGACCACTTAGCCCAGTGGAGGAATGTGATGTTTAGACAATACTGGCTAGCTGTGAATTATTTTCTCGTAAAATTGTAAGACCTGAGGTGGAGAAAATACTTTTTCCCGTTAGTGAGGCTCTGGGTGATCTAATAGACACACACACAGACACATATATACACACACACACACACACACTTCACAGTCATGTGCCATCAGCTCAGGGAGACATGTCTCTTAAACAAGACATGATGTGAAGCTCATACGTCCTCACGCACACTCACATTTTTTCATTTCCCCTCGTGGTGCTGTATGTGTATCACAGACATGTTTCTGCTCTATTTACCCTCATCTCACTGGAGAAAAGGACACGAGTGTACCTTACACTGAAACAGGAAGTCATTTTGATGTCGCTGTCATAAACTAAGAGTTCTATTTCACACAAAAAATCAAGGGGAAAAATGTGTCAAAGTACAAGTAGTTATAGGTGAATTAGTAACTAATGTGTTCCATCTTTTCCCCATTGCATAATGCACGGAACCACCAAGACTTAGAAAAAGCTTGTCTGTGATCACACTGCAGTAGAGCAAATCTGATTATTTTGACTGATATCGCAATTTGGATCAAATTGCAATTTCGATACGGAGAGTGATCGTTTTTGGGTTATCCTAATTTTCCATTAGGATATATTAAAATGATCATGCAAAACTATTTTTTGTAGACATGAAAATAGAAAGATTTCATGCAGAATATTACTATTCTGCATGAAATAATATATAGTAATATAGAGCACCTCCTGCTATTTGAATATTGAAGTCGTCCATTTTACAATTTAGATACAATTATGCTCAATTGTTCAGTCTTACACTGCATATATTAACAGTTAGGATAAATAAATAAATACATTTCTTTTTTAAATAGAAACACAACTTGCACATTTTTACAATTGCTTTTTCCAGTTTATTGTGGCATATCTACTTGATAGATATTGTATCTACCTCCTGTTGAAGGATCAACAAAAACACAGCACAACATCTCTCAATGGCAATCTAAATTCATGATTGTTGCTAATTAAAAGAAAATCCTGGAAACAACAGGAGGAGTTGGATTGGCAGACTCCAATTTGAACTCAACAGCTGCCCAACTTTCTGGTTTGAACACTTGCACAATGAACTACTCATGATCAGGAGCCATCTCCAAAGAGTGTCAAGGCAGGCCATCAGGTTCCCTGAGCAACACAATGTTATCATACCTGATGTCAAGGCTTGCTATCATTGGGAACGCTCCACTGCTAGGGTCGATTTAAGCATGGCCTACACCTGCCGCAGCGGTGTGTGTGTGTGTGCTCGTGTGTGTGGGATCATGGCCTATTGCAAGACTGGAGCCAGGAAAAAAGGGGATCTTTCAGTAATGTTAAATCAAGGAGCCTGTTGAAGATGAGCCAAGGTAATTCCTCCATCTTTGACCCTCCTCACCCCGCCGCCCCGTCCTCCTGCTGCTTGTCCATCTGTGCATCAGTCTCACCTTTGTCTCGGCTGCAGGTGGCTTCAGCTGATGGACAGGCAGGCAAAAAAAAGAGCAGAAAGGCTGCAAGAGAGGCTGTGGAAAGGCTGAGGTCAACAGGGGCAAGACATTTAGCCTTTTATGCTACCTAACCTTAGATTTGAAAGAACCAAGTCTTAAGATGCTCCAGCTAGATCTAGATGGCCAGGTGAGCACATTGTTTCTGTCGTCCTTTTTACAATTTGGTAAAACAGCTGGGTTTGGTGGGACCATGACACTATACTCCAGTGTTATCATTTATAGTCCATCATTCTTGTTCTTAATTCACCAGGTCTGCCAGCCCGCCTGGTTTCTTTGGGGAATTGATTTTTTTGTGAGGAGACAGGTCACGGCCCACTGGCCTATCTTATCAGCTGTAAATAAACTGTGGGAGATAAATCTGAAGGCTTTAGGAGAGACACCTGCTGCCACATGATTGGCTTTCACTTTACGGCCCCAAGCAATATGTGACACTTGGGTTCAAGCTTCACCTCTTCACCTCAATTTGAGCACCCTTGACTGAAGTTACATCCATCTCAAATCTTTTTCATAGATTGTATATCTAAAAAGGCAGCTTCTTTTATTCTCATTTTCTTTCCATGCTCTGTCACAACATGGGTCTTTTTAAGGGAAAACACAAAAAAGCTTAATAGGGCCCTTTTATTAGGTTATTTATAAAGCAATATTACAACACATTAGCTTGCTCCAGCTTCTAAAATTGGGGTGAATGTCTGCTTTTTTCTGTTTTATGTCATCAAAAGTTTAATATATTTGAGTTGTGAGCAGATGGTTGAACACAACAAGTACCTCAAAAGGTCACATTGAGCTCTGAGAATGTTTCGTTTACTAATAATGGACATAACACCACTGGATTTAGTGCAACATTTCTACTGTATTAGCAAGTGATCTCTAACAATGAGGGGTAGATAATTTGATTAATCTGAATAAATCGTGGATAAAAAGCCAGCAGATGGGTTCAAAAACACCAGGAGAGTCTTCCCCAACATCCACCTCAAACAACCCATCAATACAAATGTCAGCAGACGTGCTCACTGCCTCCATGCCAGCCCTACAGCCGGGGTGTGAGGTAGCGTGCCAACCTCCATCACACCGAGCCTTCTCTGTGTGTGTATGTTACGAGTTTTGGTTGATGGTTGCATTTGAGATGCGCGTTGACACACAGTGTGAGTTTGTGTGTGTGTGTGTGCGTGTGCGAAGAGGGAAAGGTCCCAGCAGAGACAGCAAACACAGATAAGGTGTTCTCCCATACCACAGGATGACAGACAAGATAGAGAGGGATGGTGGAGTGAGGCAGTGTGCCAACTCTTACAGTACTGTTAAACCGTGACCTACATCTCTCAAACACCCTGTCCCTCCAACACTGGCATACATAAACAACAGACACATTCATACACACAAAGACGCAGCTGCCACCTCTGATCACCTCTTATTCAATGACTGAGACATGCTGAAACAAAGCCATACTAGTGAAGCTGTGCCCATATGAGAAATCATTCAAGTTCATTTAGGTCGCAGTAAAGGGAATGTTTGGCTCTTCAGAGGGACTTTCAAAGAGATAAGCTGAGCGGACTCTATCTAAACTCCCACTAAGGGCTCTTCAAAGTGAGAGTGGTTGAAAGGGAGAGTTGCAGATAACAGGGAATAAACAGAGGACACATGATGGGAATTTTCTTGTGACAAAAACAATCTCTCATGCTAAGACTGAGGGCCACGGTGAACTATTGAAAGCCCAATGATTTACAGTAGGGCAGAGTAAATCATTAAAAGGTACACTAAGGAGTTTTTGACCACTGGGTTCTTTTATGAGTGCAAAGCTAGGTATCCATTACCAAAGGCAGCAAAAGAAACACAGACGTAAGCATGATTTGAGGAAAAGTATTTGACGTGTTTTTAAGGCCTCAAAGATACACACTGAATGTAAACGGGTGCAATGTTTTCAAGACAACTCATTTAAGTGTTAAAATAAGAGTTTGAATTAGTATTCTTGTTATTGGGTTATTGGTAGATTGCTTTTAGGATTAATAGTTAAACAAATATTAATGACATTTGCATTAAATATGCATTTCAATTTCAGCAATGCAAGACATTTAAATGATAGCTGCATATCTTCACATTTGAGAAGTTAAAACCACTGAATGTACAGAATATTAACCAACAACAGTGTAGATATTTAATTTATCGTTTAAGTTTCTGTTCATAGAAAATTAAATTCATTTGAAATAAAGTAGATCTTTCGAACAGAAAGCTTCACACCAGCAATGAAATATGATGTCTTAATATATCAAACTTGGTGAAAGCTCTGCTAGTTCTCCAGGGAGCCTCCATCTCCACACAGATTAAGAAAAACAGAAAACAAAAAAAGTCTCAATCAATATGCACTTGCCGGGAAAGCATGCATACGCTAATGCACCCGGATGAGCAGCCATCGCAATGAAATATTCATATTAGTTCATTTCAAAATAGTTTTATGAAAATAGTTTCCCTGGATTTGGATCAAGGTATCTGGGACTGACTTGGAAGAGAGAGAAAGTAGGTTAAAGACGGAGAAGGAAAATGCTGAGAGGTAAAATATCTGCGCATCAGGGATTCTCCTCTTCATCTCACTGCTCTGCCGACCCCATTAAGCCCGGCTCGGCTGTCAGGTGGAAGTCGCCTCAAAGTCGGCCTGACAGACAGAAACAACCGTAATGGGCTCATCAGCAGCCGACACCTCCCTCCTCTCCTTCTCAACTCTGTCTGTTGGCACAGCGACGCAAAGGTGCCTCAGTGGAATCAGATTTCCAGAAAAAACGTTGTTGTATCAGCACATTGTGGAATGCAAGGAGATGTGTCAAAGAAAGATTGAGCGGGAAAAAAGGTTCTCTATTTCCAATATTTTTGTTAAGATAAGATCTCATCATTCCTTCAGATAAACATCTGCAATAAGACGTTTTGAGGGAAGCTAAGCTAAGGACGAGCGGGGATGAAGCACATGCCTGAGGCTGCAGGGGGTTAAAGGGGAGGATGCCCCACACATGCACAGACGCAAACAGCAGCACCCACAAATACTTGGCACCAGTCGAACCCATCACGCCTCCCCCTGGGAGCTCAATAAGCCCCTATGTGTGTGATTTCACAGCCTCTCGTGGACCGTGAAGGGGCGAGACAGCTGCTCTGAGATGTTTCAGAGTGACAGGACAGCAGAACGAGGACTTCTGAGTGTTGCTGACGGAGCGCGAGACAGTGACTTGAGCGTGGCGACTATTAGATGTTTATCTCCAAGACGGCTCTGACTCAGTGACATGCAATTCCTTGAAATAAACTGCTGGAGATATCCATTAAACAGTGTTATTCTTTGTGAGTTTTAAGTATGTAATCC